TAATATTTTATTATAGTTTCTTACTTTATTTACCTTTAATATATATTCTCTCTTTTTTTTTCTCTCTTTTTTTCTTTAGGCTCTTTCTCTTTTTCTTCTTTTAAGTTTTATTACTCTTTTTCTTTTAAGTATTAAATTCTTTCTCTCTTCTTCTTTTAAGTACTAAAATCTTCTTTTTCTTCTTTTAAGTATTAAAATCTTTTTTTTCTTCTTTTAAGTACTAAGATCTTTTACTTCTACCTCTTCTTCTTTTAAATACTAGAATTTTTAACTACTTCTTCTTCTTCTTTTTCTCTCTCTAAGCTTATTTTTATATAATATTAATTTATTAAGTAATAATTCTCTATATTATTTATATTTATTATAATTAATATACTAATTATATTCTAGAATAGTAAAAACTAAATAAATACTAAAAAAAATAACTAGAGGAAAGGTACTAAAGAAATCTATTAAAGTAAAGGCTATAGGAAAATACTTACTAGAAAAAGCCCCTAGAGATAAGATAATTTCTATTTTAAAAAAAAAGTATTATTATAAATTAGAAAATAAGTATACTACTATAAAGATTATAATAATTTAACTTTTTTAATTAAAAAATAGCTATTACTCTAAAAGAGATTAAATAATATTAATAAACTACTTTATTATTTATCCCTAAACTACTATTTTAGTAATTAATATATAAGATAATATTAAATTATAATACTAACTTTAAAATTTAGATTTTAGTATTAGAAGCTTTATAAGAAGTAATTAAAGTTTTTCTAATTAATAAATTTAAAAATAAATATAATTACTTTTTATTTTAAATATTTATAGATTTATTAGATACTAATATTATTATAATTAATATAGTAACTAATCTTATAGTAATTTATATTTATTATATTACTATTTAGTAAAAGAATATATAGTTTATATAGAAGATTAAGAAGTATATAATTAAATATACTTTAGATCTATTAGTTAAGAAAAATAACTAATTTAGATTAATTAATTAAATTCTTCTAATTCTAAATATATTTTATTTAATTGGTTATATAGTATTTACATATTATAGCGTTAAAACGAATTTTGACCCGATGGTTCATTTAGTCCGCCGTAGTAACACTTCTTTTTACTAAGCAAACCAGCCCTTTCCCCTCAATCTCACTCTTTCTTCTCATTTCCTCTCCATCATCTCGTACCTACCACGATTTTTTTCCAATTTTATCCAAATCTGACGGCCATGAGTACGATACGGGGCGGTCCTCCAGTTGAGGTAGAAAAACATTATTATAGGTTTTATTATGGAAACGATAGCTAATGGTCGCAGTCTAGGGACGTTATCATTGGAAGCAAGCTCCGCGACCTTGGAGTGACACTTTGTCTCTTTGGTTTGGACGTATGTTAGCCTCTTTATGTTTTTGCGGTCGTCTAATGTGGCATAGGATATGGGAACTTATCTTAAAGAGATAAGTAACTCGCCAGAAAGTATCGCAGTGTTTTTCGAATCAATCACAACGAAGATAAAACGCGGGACTCGACCTCCAACACCTCCTTCAAGAGCAGTCTTTGCTAGTTTCGAGAAGAACAAAGAAAGGCTGTCGGAAGAACAAGTTACTAAACTTGTCAATCTTACAAGCAGCTGGGACATCGATGACCAAGGCCTTGAAGACCTTAAAGCTTTGGCGAAAATCTGGACCTCTACACCTTCTGCCTTTTTTGAGGCAAATATACCTTCTCTCAGCGGGAACGATGGGCTGATAGAACTTTGCTTCGGTGATGCCAACCATATTGAAGACACAGGTAGCACTCGTCGAAAACTGGACAATATTCTTCTCGACAGAGCTCTCAAGCACAAAGAGAAATGCTTACGTGAGAGATATAAGAATGGCGATAGAAGCGGCAGAAAGACGTGTAGAACAAATCGCTCCTGGGCGGTGGACGAGTTTATCCACCGTCGTTTTGGCGGCATTCCGGAGAAGGAAAGAAAGTCGAAATACGCTAGAATGAAGGCACTACGTATTTCTGGGTCCAAATGGAACCTGATTGAGCCTCGCTGGATGGTCCTTGCGCTAAAAGACGCAAAGACAAACTGGTACGTGGAGCACATTAGCTGCACCGACAATTTTACTGATAGCTAGTAGCTTTGAAAGGGGAGGGCTCACAAACGTTGAAGCTTCAGCCCTTAATGCATATATTCGGCAGTTGAAAGCGTATGGAGAGGAGAACATTCTGAAAGTAGCGTACTCCAGCATCCTTCGAGAGTACAAGCAGCGCTCTAGATGTGAAAGCAATGTGAACGACGTTAAATGGATTGATGACTTGCAGTATCCAGATGGTGAGCCAACTGGCCCTCCAAGCAGCGTTGAAGGCGCAGCCTCGCCTCTTGACACAGGACACCCAACGCCCTGCATTGGATCGCAGGGAGGGTCTGGTGAGTCGACGTCGGCCAATAGCTCGCAGTCGCCACAGCATTATCCAAATAATTCATCGTCGTGGATGGACTTTGAGCAGTCCCACCAGGAAGAGTCTGTGCCCCAATATCCATCAGACGTTGTCAGTTCTAGGATCCACCATTCGAATAGGAACATGAGGGAGGGAGTTCATGGAATGGACTCGCCATGGTTTGAGGACCACGGCGCCCGGGACGCCGATGCTGCCGAT